TACATTTTAAATTGTTTCTTCCTCTTCTTTCTGTCTCCCCCTAGCTCTTACTCATCCCGTCAATCTTTCTTCCTTTGACATAAGGCTCTTAGGAATCACTGTTCCTCTCAGTCTCAGTGTGAGAGAACAGAAAATAACTGTGCACCAGTTGCCATGGTGACTTACAGCATGCTTAATTGTCCCCTAGGTATTGTGCTGGACTCTGGAGATGGTGTGACTCACAACGTGCCTATCTATGAGGGCTATGCCCTGCCTCATGCCATCATGCGTCTGGACTTAGCTGGCCGAGATCTCACCGACTACCTCATGAAGATCCTGACTGAGCGTGGCTATTCCTTTGTGACTACTGGTGAGGCACTGGGGAGGTGGAGGGAAGAGGATGGAAGACACTGTGTGCTCACTGTAACTTAGTGGAAGGAGGGCTGTCCCCATGAAAATGGTGCATAGAGCCAGAGAGGAGGCTTAGCTGATAAAACCATTGGATATGGAAACCTTACAACCCGAGGTCAATTCCTGAGTCTACAGTGAAAAGAAAGAACTGACTGCTGAGATTTGCATTCTGATGTTCACACATGTGCACCTGAAATGTACAAATGAACACATACACACACACACACACACAAATACACACAAACGTGCAAACACATACAAATAATAATAATAGTAATAATCTAAAATTTAAAATATAAAAATAAACTAATAAAAAAAGAGTTGGTGTGTTAGAGACTTAGCCAACAGTAAAGTCTGACTCCAATGCACAGAGAAAGCTTAGCTTTTCTTGCTTTGTGATTGTAAAGTTATTACAGTTTTTTTGAGAGTAGCTATAGACATTGGTATAGGCAGCAAGTCAGAATGGAAAACTGTCTATGCCACTAGAGATGAAATCCAGGGTCTTGTATTTGCTAGTCAAGCCCTCTACCACCCAGCTACACCCACAGAGCTACTTGGATAAATTTTAATTTCTTCATTTACAAATAGGAGGGAAAGTGTCAAATAGAGAAAGGTGTAGTTGGCACCTTTTCCATCTCTCCATATGTACCACTGGAACTGAAGCTCTTCCAAGATAGCATCTGCTTCATTTCTAAAAAGTGAAAAATGTGTCAAAGATCAAACTACAACCTATCTGGGCAGGGCAGCAAAGGTCTTTTAGGCATTTGAAAACTCTGAGTCTTCTGAGGAGCTGGTTCAGCAGAAGAGTGACATGGAACAGGTAGATTTTAGCACCTGTATGAACCCTAATGTGTACCAAGTTCGTTATGTGTTTGACAGCTGAGCGTGAGATTGTCCGTGACATCAAGGAGAAGCTGTGCTATGTTGCTCTGGACTTTGAAAATGAGATGGCCACTGCTGCCTCCTCTTCTTCCCTGGAGAAGAGCTACGAACTGCCTGACGGGCAGGTGATCACCATCGGGAACGAACGCTTCCGCTGCCCAGAGACCCTCTTCCAGCCATCTTTCATTGGTAGGCAAAGGGAAGTGGGGTCTACCTGTTCTGTACCCAGACAAGCTTCTGCTATCGGGGCCCATTTGCTGGTAGAAATGAACCAGTGCTTCAGAAACAGAAGCAGCTCTAACGTAGGGACGGTGTCGCATTTTCAAAATGAGAAGACATAGGGAGCCCAGAAAGGAGTTGTCTCCCGTGGAAATCTCTCTTATGTCAGAGACAAGACAGATGCATTCTCTGCACATAATGCAAATGTTAAAAGTTATACATGGGGGCCTGGTGAGATGGCTCAGTGGTTAAGAGCACTGACTGCTCTTCCGGAGACCATGAGTGGAGCGCTGGGGTAGTTCAGGAAGAGGATCTGAGTGCTGGAAGTTTGAGGCTGCTGACAGAGAAGGAAAACAGAACAAGTAGAGAGCATCTATCCCATGTGGGCACGGCAGGATCACATAGGGTCTTGCAAGTCATCCTCTTTGGAGGCTGGGGGCCTGGGCTTGACACTTTGTCCTATTTTCACGTTCTCGGGAATGCCACTAAACCTTTCCAAGACTCAGTTTCTTCATACTAGGATAGTTAGAAGGTTTTTAGCAGAATTGTGTAGTGCCCTCAGCCCTGTTCCTGTCCAAAACAAGCATTCAACAATTGGTTCCTGCCAGCAAGTAATAATTAGCTGGTGGCATTGCTATTTTAATGAGATCACAATGCTGAGAAGGTTGGGGGCCATCTAGGGGTTTAGTTTTAAAAATTATTTTTAAAAGTGGTTGAATGGTCAGAAGTCAAGAAGAAACTCAGCCCTTCACCCCTACCCGTTTTTTTTTTTTTTAAAAAAGTCTTTACAAACATTGTATAAAAAGCATCTTTGGCAGCTGGGCGTGGTAGTGCATGCCTTTAATCCCACTACTAGGGGAGCAAAGGCAGGCAAATGTCTATGAGTTTGAGGCCAGTTTGTCCTGTATAGCAAGTTCTAGGCCAGCCAAGGATACATAGGGGTTTTAGGATACATACCTGTGTTTTAAACAAAATCAAAATCGAAAACAAACAAAAAATTTTATCCAAGAAGGAGAGACACTTTGCTGATAGTAACACCATTCAGCTTTGGGTGTTGGGGATACAAAGTGCAGCTGTGAAGGTCAAGAGAGCCCGCTCTGATCCGTGGCCCTGGCCCTACCTCTTACAGGGCATCTGAAGGCCTGGCTCCATATTCAAGCCAATTACAGCAGAACACTATCATGTTGTAATCACCCTGGAAGTACTGCAGCTGAACCCCCTTCTTTAGACAAGAGGCAGGAAGATGATATGGAGTGCAAAAAGGCCCTTTCGGCTCTTGAATGGTAGTTTCTAGTTCACAATGCCTGCCAGCCTCATCCAGGAAAAGATCACTTAGTTGGGCCAACTTGATTTTCTGTGTTCAGCCTGTTTTACCCAGCATCCAAAGATCACGGACTGTGTCTTTTTTCCAGGGATGGAGTCTGCGGGCATCCACGAAACCACCTATAACAGCATCATGAAGTGTGATATTGACATCAGGAAGGATCTCTACGCTAACAATGTCCTCTCCGGGGGCACTACCATGTACCCGGGCATTGCTGACAGGATGCAGAAGGAGATCACAGCCCTTGCACCCAGCACCATGAAGATCAAGGTACCACACTAAGACCCTCTGACTCAGGAAGCAGCAGAAGGGGCATTTCTAGAACAGCCACAAGTATATTAGGCAGTTTAACACTCTCTCTTTTCTTTCCAAAGGTGATGAGGCCAAGGTGACAGTGGGTTAGACTTAAACACTTAAAACAGGCCCTGAAGAGTCCTGTCCTGAGGTCTATAGGTAGAGAGTGAGCCACTATTTCCTGGAGAGCCTTGTTCTTTTAATGCATGAGGTTTGAGAACAGACAGGGTGCATCCAGCAAGAGTTAGGAAAGTCTCAATTCTCCAAACCTTACTTCTGATATGGAAATGAATGTGAAACTCAGTGGCTCAGTGTGATCAGAGAACACAGACATCCAGTAAAACTTTGGACACCCAGATGATACATTCACTATTCAGGCAATGTTCTAGAAATCTAAAATTATTATCAAACCCCCTCACCATGGAAAAACAAAAATGTATGGCTTCAAAGCAAAGCTCCCCTGAGGGTCAGTTTTGAAATTAAACCTGATATTGACACAGCCACTTGTGACCATCACTGACAGTCCTCTAAGCCAGTGTCTTTGGCTGCAATTTGAGAATCACTGGATGCCTACCCCTCAAAATTATTATAGTAATTAAGTAAGCTAGAACCTGTAAAACCCTTGACACAAGGCCAACCCACTGAGAGCTTGGTGAATGAGAAGAGATTAAATGTTGAACCAGATGGAGATAGTCGGAAAGTGAAACCCTGGCTAGCATCTCTGAGTACTTCATTCGCTAGAGCCAGCTTGGGTTTACCCTATGTAGAGATAAAGGAATTAGGGATGGTTTGGTAGAGAGGTGCGGGGTGGGGGGAGAAAAATCAATAAGCTTGCTGGAGAAACACTCTAGCTTCTTCAAACCCATCTCCCCACAGAAAAGAATGCCCTTGTTTTCCAGGAAGGGCCAGCATAAGACACTTCTGCCAGGCACTAATGTTCTTCCTTTCTTACCCCGACAGATCATTGCCCCTCCTGAACGCAAGTACTCTGTCTGGATAGGTGGCTCCATCCTGGCTTCTCTATCTACTTTCCAGCAGATGTGGATCAGCAAACAGGAATATGACGAAGCTGGTCCCTCCATTGTCCACCGCAAATGCTTCTAAGTCACCCCCGGCTCTGTCTCAAGCACATAACTGTGAATGTTTTGTGGATCAACGCCTTCAGTTCCTTTCTTTACAAATCATTCCTACCCAAAGCTTTGATTTGTTACTCGTGTTTTTTAATAAATCAGACATGTGCTACACTTAACTTCTAGCCCTGGCCTGTCAACACTGATTCAGTTGTGTTTCTGGTAGATGAGAATCACTTATTATAAGGTGGCTCCCTCTAGTGGTCAGTAAAGGATGTGCCACAATTAGAACAGTAAATTCCCAGGCAACACATACATCACTTCAACAGAGAAAACCCCCCTTAAATAATGTAGACAGGTTGCATTTGAGAGTGCCTAGGACATGTATAGCTTAAATGTAATAATATATATTAGTGTCAGTAGGAAAAGTCTACACTGACTTTACAACTTGAGTGACTATTTTACCATATATATATATGTATATATATGTGTGTGTATATATACACACACATATATGTATATGTGTATGTATATATATATGTATATATATATATACATACACACATACATGCATACATACATATATGTGACCTGATAGGTAAAAACAATACGGTTCTATTAAAATTACATCTTTTGTATTAAAGCACACACATATGGACAGATATGGATGTGTGATTTTAATTTGCATCAAGCCTTGCGTATTATCTAACTTTAACGTACATCAAACTTGGCATATTTAAGAAAGTGTAATTTGTTTAGCTCATTTGTTTTTAAAAATAACATAGGTTTTAGAATCCGAGAAATTACTTTAAAAGTCTCACCGTGTACCTGGATCATTGCTTCTTCCTTTGGCCAGTATCTGAAAAAAAAAGGAAAAAAAAAAAGAAAAACTGCAGTAGATGTATTTACAGTAAAAAGAAGGGGAAAAATGGCAGTACTCTCCAAAGACTGATCACACCCCGCACCGTACACAAGACTCTCATACGTCATCACTACTATGTGGTGACAGTGTTATCATCAGTTGTCAGATGGGGAAGCCAGGGGTGTCCCAAAAATGTAGTTACTTCCATGGGGAGCTAAAGACCAATAGTTCCTCTGCCTATCACATTGGAACTACAAAGGTTTATTTGGCTTTTGATTTTTTGTTTGGTTCTTGTTTTTGTTTTTTAAATACCAGGACATATTGGGGCAGGAGAATTGGCTCTGCAGTGAATAATACTTGTTGCTCTTGCAGAAGATCCAGCCTCAAGTCCTAGTACCCACATGGTGGCTTACAATTGGTTGGCTGTGACTCAGGTCCCAGGGAATCCAAATCTCTCTTCCGACCTTTGTTGGCCCCAGGCATGGATGTGGTGCACATATAGCCATGCAGGCAAAACAACCAACCATATAATAAAATAAGTGAAGCTGAATAAAATTTGACAACCAGTCAAATCTTGTTATTTGCAGCACAATTTATTTCTGATGACATCATTTGGGTATCTTAATAGGTATGGACTGAACCCCATGTGGCTCTCTTTCGAGACACAGCAACCCAAAAAAAAGGAAACTTCAAAATGTGCACAAACAATAAATATCAAAGTTTTGGTCTAAAATATATAAATATAAAATATCAGTCATTTCTGAAAACATCATAATAAATTCGGCAGCCACACGTGTCCATGGCAGGCATCTGACAAAGATGCTCCTGCATTTGGGGCATGTCACCTCAGATCCAACACAGTTGTTTTTATGTCTTTTACTATCACGTGGCTGCATATCTAGAAAAGGAAAAAAAAAAACAGTGTTACATAATAACGTTTACTGTGTGGTGTTTTTTTTTTTTTAGGGAAGGTATATGAATTTCCTCACCCTTTTTCATTGTTATTATTATTATTAATAATAAATTCATTAATAATGAATTTTATCATTATTGCTAAATGTGATTAGTTAGGGTCATAAACATCTATGATAATAATTTGTGCTGCCTATTCACACTTTTACATCGTGGAGCTAATCGCTGCCCTTGAGCCAGGCGTGATGGAGCACACCTTTAATCATAGCTCTTAGGTGGCAGAGGCAGGTGGGGTCTCTCTGAGTTTGAGGGCAGTGTGGTCTATAGAATGAGTTCCAAGGCTACATAGAAATATCCTGTCTGTCCTGATGATGATGATGATGACGACATAATAATATACAACAATGACTTATGATGTTTACTCACACTGAACAGCTTAGGGTCCTTGCTGTGAGGATGGAAACCCTTCTTCTTACAAGTTGAAACCTCAAGCATGCCAGCGTTGGTGAGCCTGAAAATGCCGGTGCTAAACAAGAGGTTGAAAATAAGCACAAAGTTAAGGACCATCCGGGAAGAAGTAAACACACACCTCCATCAAACAGGAAAGCAGAAGAAGACACACACTATGAACGTCCCCACGACTTCCACAATGAACTCTAGAAACATTGATCTCCAAGCACCTAGAGGACCCCGAAGGGACAGGTAGCTTGATGGTTGAGACCTCATATGAGAGGCCATACATGTGTCCTCCATCTGAGCAAACAGTTCTAATTCCTGTACTAATGTTAGTGTTCTTGATGTCCACCACCAGGTATGTGGCAGTGTCAGACACTACAATCAGCACATCATAGAAACTATCATCTAGTGTCTTCTTCTTGTCAATCCAAGACAGGTAAGGATGAAGGACGGAGAGGCTAGGATCACAGTGGTCAGGTCCCCTACAACTTTCAGGTAGACTCAGCATCAGTAAAGGTCTGTCTGGTTCTTACGATTGTAATGACTTTGTAAACTGAAGTCTTCCAGACAATGAAAAGCCATTCCTGTCTTCAAAGATCTATAACAAGAGCGAATGGCTGGACTTGTTGACAGGGGAGAGTTAGAATGTTACTGACAAGTGCCTCAGAGCCAAGTACCATGGCCTGGGGGACTCAGGGGAGCTTTCTCCTTCCACTTACTCTTGATGCTTTGGGGAGCACACAATAGCAATGGCCTCCGGCAACATAAGCTGATAGGAGCACTGAGTGTGAAGATCCACACTGGACAGGAATGCCGTCTGCGTGGGGTGTGTCTACAAATGGGAAAGAAAACAGTCTCATTAGCGAAGGCTGGACTACCCTCAAAATGTCTCCTGTAGCTTTCACTAAGCAAATACACATAAAAAACATGTTTCGGTGAGGGTTGACAAGATGGCTCAGTGGGCAAAAGGGCTTGCCATGAAACCTGATGGCCTGGCTTAGATCCCTGAAATCTATGGTGGGGGGAGAGAACTGACTCCCTGGAGTGTGTCCACTGACTTGCACATGTGTGCCACGGCACCTGGATACCTGCACTTGCACACATCACACCACCACCAATAATAATAATAATAATAATAACTAATGATAATAATATACAAATAAAAACTAGTTGAGAGGAGCTGACAGAGTTCCTCTTTTTCTACCATACTCTTGTTGGTTTGGAATAACTCTGACCTAGAGACAAAGTTCCTAGGAGTGTATGTGCTTTCCTTGTGGGAAAGAGTGAGATGTCTCCACTTGCTAGAGGCTTTAAATAGATCCTCCATTAATCGAATGAGCTAAGAATCTTACTATCTCAGTCCACATACAAGGATCTCCAGACTCTGGAGGATAAAGTCTGGCCAAGAGATCAGAAAGCCGGGATCGTGGACTCCTTTGTATTCTTTTAGAACTAAACATAGCACACTCCTGAGACTGTCCATGGCTCTTCGTCCTTATAAACAGGAGGAGGGGGTCTCCAAGTTGCTAAAGGTGTTTGAGATCCATCTGGCTTAGCCACTGAAAATGCACAAAGAGAAAGAAGTGGAGAATCTCAACAAAACCCTGTCTAGACTAAAGACACACCTTGCCATCGAGCCACACGCACAGTAGGCCCATTGTCAAAATGCAAAGATTTCATAGAGGAATGAGTAAGACTCAGCATCCTCTTCTCTGCCAGAGACTGCCTTCTCTGAGTACAACAGAGCTTTCTAGGTCGCAGCAGAATGAAAGACATGTCCTAAGGAGCCAGGGTGCTGTGGAGTCAGTAAGCAGGTTGTCAACAGAAAAGTTACTCTGCCCACCACTTTATTTCAGACAGAATGCACTCGTGTAAGCACTTGAACCCTTCATTTCTGCCTCTAAGAACCGTTTCTGTGCCCATGAAGACACCTCTCCCATGGGAGCATGGCATTCCCATTGCAAAGGAAAATGGTGGTGGCGGTGGTGGTGATCATGATGGTTGTGATGGTGATGATGATGGTGGTGGTGATGGTGGTAGTGGTGTTGATGATGATGGTGATGTGGTGGTGGTGGTGATGGTGGTCGTGGTGGTGACACCAGCAGTAAATGCCATCTATTACAAAGGAATAAAATTCTGGGCAGGAAGCTCATGACCTCCCATGAATTATGATAGAGTTCTCACTAAGGTCTGTGCTGTCGTTTTGGGAATTGTTTATCAAGAATAACACTGACTGGCCTGCATATGTAATTTTTAAAACTTCCACCTTTAGCTTGTTATAATTCCTTGATACAGCTTGTATATGTGCACATGCATGTGTGTGTGTGTGTGTGTGTGTGTGTGTGCATGTATGCATGTGTGATACAGTGGTACATGTACTTATTTAGGTGTGTGTGTACATGTATGCATTGCTCCTTTTTACAAATAAATTCTCACATTTGAGTGGCAGTTCATACTTTTCAGAGGGCTTTCCAGTCCTATTGCCTTAACCGACAGCATCCAATCAATGCTCTCTTTGGCTTCACTTAATCAATGAGAAAACTTGAAAATAAGGAGTCAACGGTCAGGACTTAGGGGACGGAGGGACTCAAAGATGGAGCAAGAGTGACATCTCCTCCAACCTCTTAAATCATATTGCAATAACTCTTAGCACATGTGCGTGCGTGTGTGTGCATGTACGTGCGTGCATGCATGTGTGTGTGTGCCCACACTACTCTTACCCAACCCTTTTTTACAAACTAATTCCAAATCAAACCCTGCTTGTTTTGAGTCTATTGCAGACACCCAGACAGTGCGTTGGGACTTTTGGTCTGCATCCCACGCTAGTGAGAGGACCTGTTACTGCTATCATCAGAATGATGGCGTCCCTTTGACTTTCTATAGGGGAAAGAGAAATCGTCTAATTGAAGAGATGACAGTAGGAACCACAGTCTTTAGGAGGTGACCAATAGCAGCTCAGCATAAGGGATTCTGGGTGAGGGAACTGCTCTCTTGATCCTCTATCTTCCACCATGCAAGGACAGAGCAACAAGCTGTTGTCGTGGAAGCAGAAAGCAGTTCTCACTGGACACCAGTGCCAAAGCCCTGGTGTTTCTTCCAGTCCCTAGAACTGCAAGACTGAAACCTCTTCTCTTTATAAATTATCTAGTCTCCGATACTACAAATACAGACATGAACACAGCACCCCGGATTGAGCTGTGTATAACTAAATAAAAAGAAAAATCCCTAGATAATTTGATCTATGAAAAAGAAATAGACCACCTTTATGGAGAACAAGTCATAGTTTTTCTAAGACTCTAGAAACTGTTGAGAAATTCCCTGGCGTTATTTCATGTAACACTGAGGATCACATGAAGTTATGGGTTCCCACAGTTATGGGTCCCATTTAGTGGAGGACCAAGCTGCCATCACAGCTAACCGTTTGCCAATGCTCCTATCATGAGCTCTTAGCAGAGCTGACATTTATTAAACCCATGCCTATCTGATGTATAGGCCCAGTTTCACACCTACAGTGGCCTGGAAGATGTCAGAACCCAATATTTTGGCCCTAGCCATCTGTGCAAGTCCCCATCCATTTTATGAATACACTTCTGCTCTGCAGGGTAGGGCAATGTCACGTGTGGACTCTCTTTAGTACACACAAACATTGTTTAAAAGAAGGGCCATCAGAAAAAGGTTTATAATCGAATTTAGACCCACAGCAAAGGAAAGGAGATTATTATACAGTTAAGAATTTGGCTAAAAGCCGGACGGTGGTGGCGCACGCCTTTAATCCCAGCACTTGGGAGTCAGAGGCAGGCGGATTTCTGAGTTCGAGGCCAGCCTGGTCTACAGAGTGAGTTCCAGGACAGCCAGGGATACACAGAGAAACCCTGTCTCGAAAAAACAAAAACAAAAAACAAAAAACAAACAAACAGACAAAAAAAAACCCAAAAAATTAGGCTAAAGCTAAATCTAATCCGTTGGATTATCAGAACCCATCAGAGCAAGACCTATTGCTATACATTACCTTTCTTAATTCTGAAACATACAAGTATTGAATACCCCTCTTTCAAATCCAAATGTGACAGTTTTATACACAACTCACATTGAATAAATTGCTTTTATATCATGATACTTAATACCTCCGGGAAAATATAAAAAGAAGAAATTATTTACATTCATTCAAATTCCTGTATGAAGAAAACAACACACCATACAAAAATAAATGGAAACCCAGAAGGCCAAACATACGTGAATCCATCCCAGTGTGAGGAGGCCATGTTGATCCTGAACACTGAATAATTCCTCTACGTTCTCCACGTCGCAATAGTCTGGGCCAGCAGACTGCTTTGGCACAACCACATGGGTAATGGTGAATTCATTGTGCGTCTAGAAGACAAACAAAATAACACACCTCTGACAAAAGAAACATCTGAGCAGGATGTCACTGCCTAGCAGACTTCAGCCAATGTACCACCCCCTCACTGCACACACTTACAATTCAAAAACAAGCAGAAAAATTGACTCTACTTAAAGTTTTGGACGTTTGTTATTTGGGGCTTGAACCCCATTGCTGCTGTAGAAAGTACAAGGGAATTAGTATTGGGGAGAGCAACGGTAATGGATGCGTAGTTAACAAATGACATCTTGGCATACTTGACCTACAACGGAAAATGTCTTCACACCACAAGGTCAGGTTCCTTTAGAGAGACAAATTTCTCAAATGTGTGATGTTACTTAAAAGTATTCCTATGAGTTGTAGGGGCTGGTGTCTTGTTTTTATTAATTGTGTGTAATTATGAAAGAATTAGTATTTTCCTCTAAGAGTCGCTAGTGTCTTCCAAAATTAAAATAGCATGGCTTGTACAATTAAGCAAGAAGAAACATTTCGCTCTCCTTGGGGAAAAGGTAAGTGTGGAAAAGAAAAGGTCTTGAAGTAAAGAGGAGAGTTTTAGGTTCACTGAGCTGTGAGATGCTGTCCTCCAGGCCTGGGGACTTCCCACCCTTCTAAAGCACCATCCACTCTCCAGCCTCAGGGCCTTCCGAGGTGCTGAGTTCTATTCCCTAAATCTTGCCTTGTTATCTATCATTTTTTAAAAATAGTTTGTTTATAGCGTTTTATGGTGTCTCTGAAACTTTAGAGCTCATTTTTTTTTTTTTAGAATGCCAAATCCACAAGTAATGTTGGTAGTTTAAGGATGTTAATATCAACTTCATATTATTACCCTCTCCCCATCTACCCTGCTTTTCCTATCACAGGGAAGCCAGTACTACTCAAAGTATCATACTGAGAGATGAAACAAGACCATACCAGCTTTCCACAGAGGATCCCACAGGTTTCTATTCCTCTCACTGTGTTAGAGTCAGCCAGCAGCAGAAATTTATGGCAAAGATCTCTTGATAAAACTACACACCTCAGTCCTTCAACCACCAAATCTAAAACAGAAAGAAGAAACACAATAAAAACAAGTTTTGGATCATGTCCTTTTGAATTTCAGTGAGCAACTAAAGCACAGATTTCAACACTTTCCGTAGTTAGCTTAAAAAAAAATCAGACCACTTGAAAGTAGACATGGACTAGAAGGAGGGTAAACTGACACGTACATTTCATATACAAATTATTTTATAAGAAAGTTTATAAAGAGTCAGCACTATTACACAATTGGCCTCTGGAACAACTCTACCATATGTGAGTTTTCTCTCTGCACACCACAAATATGCCAGAGAACCCATGGGGCCACAGTTGACACATTGTTGTAAGACACGGGATGAAAACTTCTTATCATGTTTGCTACGTGTTACCTTCTACCATGCTGTGATCAATTAGTAGACAAAAGCACTTTTTTTTTTAAACAATTGCTAGTAAAGTAGCATTCGAAATGGCTGCCTACCAAATTCCTTTAATAGGTGACTCTGTGAAAAAGAAATGCCTATTCGACTTGGGGAATTTCGTAGAGTCGATATGGCAGCGCTTGACATCAGTAAGTGCTGGTGGAAAGCCCCACTGCTCACAGGTTAGCTGTCGATGGGACTGAGACCCTACCTGCTCAGGCTGATGTTAAACACTGAAGTATCTCAACAACCAATTTTTCATTATATTCTTTCCTATGCAGTGTTTCCCTTTAACATGTATGCATGTCTTAAGTAAAACACAATGAAGGAAAATAAATGCTAGGATTCTTCATTCAAAATCTCTACTCATTATCAAAACATGATTGCTCTATAATGAGGCAGGTTCCGTGGGTTGGATTTTAAAGGTGGACAAAGTGAAGGTCAGATGTACCTGTGTCCCACATCACTTACTCTGAACAGCACTCAGGGTGGCCGCTGGTTTTAGGGCTCTGTTCACCGGAGGAGAGTAGTTAGCGAAACCGCTTCCGTCACTTTTATGAGGATGGTCTCCAAATACATTCCTCAGAGAGTTGTTCTGGTGAGTGGAAAAGCAGGACAGCCCACTTCCGTCAGTCTGCTCAGACAGCACTGGGGAGTCCTGACTTCGCGTCTGGCCCCGAGCCAACTCCTGCTTCTTGAGTTGATCTTCGAAAAACAGGAATTGTTCGGACTCTAGTTGCTGTTGGCGCATCTGAGCTATCCGCTGCCGCTCTGCCTCGATCAGTCTCTGGTGTTCCAACTTTTTGAGAATTTCCGCTTTATATTTGTTCTAAGATGGTTGACAGGAGGAAAAAAAATGCTAAGTTTTCTGAGACAAAAACATCAAACTGAAAGTAGATAGTTTCAGTCCTCTGGCAGAGAGAAAGAAAGAGAGAGAGAGGGAGGGAGGGAAGGAGGGAAGGAGGGAGGGAGGGAGGGAGACAGAGACAGAGAGACAGAGACAGAGAAAGAGAGAAAGAAAGAGAGACAGAGAGAGAAACAGAGAGAGAGACAGAGAAACAGTCAGAGACAGGGAGAAAGAGATATTCTTAGTAAAACAGAAAAATAAACATTACAGCAAAAACATTTAATTTGATGAACACAGCCTCTCAATTCACTACATTCCACCAAAAACTGCACAGCAGGTGTGCTGTCTATATTCCTCAGTGCTTCTACATACTGGAATACCAGTGTCCTGTGGAGCAAAGAATCTCACCCATTAAATGGCACTGTCCAGTCAAGTAGCTGCTTTCCAGATACTCCTTTTAAACTCAAACTAGCTGAGCTTAGATGAATTTAGCAATGTGGTTCTCAGGCACACTAGTAACATTCTGAGTACCAGGCCGCCTCCCGGGCTGGGGCTGCTGTGCAGGAAATACCAAATGGAGCATGTCCATTACACGAAGACTTTTTTTGGCTTGGGGCTCTCAAGAGCCTTTTTGTATTTGTCTATAGCATGCCTCTTCTAGGGGTGCATCATGGTGAAAGGGAATCACAGAGAAATAGTTCCCCAAAGTGTTCCACATTTTTTTTTCTATCAGAACTAACCAAAACTTAGGCTAAAAATTAAGAATCGCAACGCGAGTGCTAAACAAATACCTAGGCATTATCAGATTAGAGGAATATCAAGGCTACTAAGTTCCCAACGGATGCTGAAAGAAACGTAGTGGCAAGGTACTGTAAGGCGAGGAGAGTTCAGGAGACTCCGTCTACAGCAATGCTTTACACACGCACCACTCTGGGCCTTGTTAGCATTAGGAATTCTGATTTGACATGTGTTCTACGTTTCTAACAAGCATCATGGGATGTGGGTGCTGCCCACGGTCAGGGCTTACAGGTAGGTTTGTTACTCTCCTGCCGCCACTCTTCCACTCCAGAAACTTCCACACAGGATACATGAGGCCACTGGTATTAGCACAAGTAGAACACAGCACAGCTGTCTGATCTGCTTCTCCCAGAATAAAGGAGTACCATCTATTATTCCCTCTACAGATTAGTCAAAACACCTCATGCCAGCCAGTCCTCCAGCTCTGGGACTATTTGTGGAGGTAGAGATTGAAGTGAAGTAAGAGGTGGTAGAGCCGGCAACCTCCAAAGCAAAGAGACAAAGCAGTGTATCTGTTGGAGCTCGGTTTGGTGCTGCTGTGTATTCAAATGCTAAATTCTGTAGCCCAAGACCTGGTTGCCCCTAGATGAGAGAATTCTCATGTACAGGGCCCTTTATTGTGTCATCATCCTTGCTCCCCAGTTGAAAGCTATTGGTTAAATAAAAGTGGCTACAGCCAATTACTGGGAAGAATAGAGGTGGGCGGAGCTTCGGTTACTAGGCTGAGGGTCCGCGGTAGAGAGCCAAAGAGAAGAGAACAAGAGGTCTCCATCAGACGTGGTGGACCAGGATCACTTGGCTGAGTGAAATGCCCCCTGAGGATAGACTGATAGAGCAGAAATAATCTGAGTGAGAGAGACTCAAACAGCAAGTACATAGGGCACTCGGGGAATTAACAGCCTAGCATATTGAAAAAAATAGATTAGGTCTAATTTCCTCCAGAAATTATGCTAAAGTTGATAGAAATATCCATTAGATTTTGACTTAATTATTAGGGGACTGGCAGGGTCATATTAAGAACTAAGAGAGTTATTAAATATCATTTAAAGCAACATATGTCTTGTAATCTCATTAAACATAAGGATTTGCATCCTGAATTTGAGAATGCCAGCGATGTACTAGTTAAACTCTCCTTTCCATGCCCTCTAGTCTTCTTTCCCTATGTAATAAGAATTCAGAAATGAAAATCCATTGGAACTCTGACTATGTCTCGGGTATGTGGTTAGCTGTTCTATCTTGAAGGAATGTTGACTGTACTATTTAAGACCTGGATTCACATTTCCAAGTCCCACGTGATTACAAACATCAAAAATCATGTTCTGTTCTGTCTACTTTCTACAACTTCTGTTCATCTTGAAAAAAAAATCTGGCTCAAGGTTACACTGGCAAGGGCTGGTCGGAAGCTCTATTTAAATCACCGTAGGAAATCTATTTCCTAATGCACTGCTTTATGAGATGTTTTAGGGGATGAAAACACCACATCCTTAGAGCATGTGCTTAACCGGAACAGCCACATGAATTCTTTATTAGTTTTACATCATCACATCTTTAATTTTTAATTTAAACATATACATTTCAAAAACACATACAAAAATGATATTTTGAAAACCATTTTCACAGAAAACTGTGAAGAAATAAATGTACCGACAACTTACTTTACTTTGCAAATATTCTTGGTATTCTATGTTGTATTTTCTTAGCAGGTTTGTTTTCAGTTCGTCCGTCCTTGGGAATGCAATCTCCTTCAGTTTCTTTCAAAAACATATAAACATACCAATTAGATTTTTCAGTATACCCTTTCAGAGCATCAGCTGAGAAAGACACACAGCTGGAACGCTCAGAAAAATAAATCTATTCTAGGACTCCAGAATAGAGCTTTTAGGAATGACGGAAAATTAGAAAACAAAAAAAAAAGTGTGTTCCTTTATATAATTTCTATTTATTCCACTAGTTAGATAAGCATTTTAGGTAGGACCAATAAGATTTCATACTGCATATGTAAATCACTTAACATTGGTGTTACAAAGGGTATTAAGGTGTATATGGTGGGTAGGGGTGTCGAATGTAAAAAGCAGCTGAGGAACGTTTTATAACAACTCCTATTCCAAATCCTAATCCCAGAACTACTGAATTCACTTCTCTAGCAAGTGCTGAGAGAGCCAAGATAGTCAATATCTTCAATGGTTCTCAATGGCAGGAGAACCTTGGAAACTGGATAGAGTCCAATCATATCCTCCCTTCTGGAAGGAAGGAAGCAAAAGCCTAGGGAGATTGGCTCATACACATTGGTAATAAACTATCCAGTTGGATGAGGATCCAAGCATCTCATCCCTAGCTAAACTCTCCCACCAGAATTTCTTTCTAGGAAGTAAATGCCACAGGGATGGGTCCTAACAAACATATATTGCAGTGACTTTGTTACTGTGTGAAAGGTCACAGTATAAACTTACACAAATGAAGATGGTTACAGTGTCTCTAAATAATAAAACTCAATGGGACCACTGTCCTCTATAGGGTTCAGGAGTTGAGCGCACTCTGTGGCTGTAGCGAAAACTCCATCCAGCGGAGAGTAATCAGCAGCAGCTAATGTGGCTTGTTCAAGTAAGCCCAGGAAAACAACCAGTCTCTCAATCTCTGGGAGGAATTCTCTCATCTTAGTTTTTGTAATGTCAATTAGACACCTTGAATGCACAGTCATAATCATTAGACATCTTAGGCAGAAATCAAACTGCTATGTTTGATGGAATGGGGTCCTTGTGCTAATGCTCTCCAGAGGTCAGGGCAAAGATGAAAGGAGGCTGTGAATCAATAATGTATACTTGGGGGCACTGATCCCACAGTGGAGTGTCAGTCCAGTGTACCTTCATGATATCCTGCTTCTCTGGAACTGCACACTGCTGGTAATCTCGATGGCTCGGAAGTTTTTCTACAAATAATCTAGAGAAAGAGAAAATACAGCATTAGCATCCTGTGAGAACAAAAATTCAGTGACTTTCTAACAAGCATTCTTTTTTTTTTTTGATCCACTCAAAAACTTTTTATTTAACTATGTTCTTTACACCCACTCTCTCTCTCTCTAAAGGTTGGTATACCTATTAGTCTGAGTAAATAAGTACTTTCACTAAACAAAGTGTTCTTCATTTAATTGTGCTGGCTAGTGTTTTATCTATTTGACACAAGCTCAATGGAGAAAATGCTTCCTTTGGATTGGCCTGTAAGCAACTCTGTGAGACTTTTATTTGATTAATGATCCCTGTGCGAAGGTCCAGTCCACTATGGGTGGTGCTATTCCTAGGAAGGTAGTCCTAGATTGTATGAGAAAGCAAGATAAGCAAGCCATGAGGAATAGACTAGTAAGCATGGCTTCTGCTTCAGTTTCTGCATCTAGGTTTCTACCCTGAGTTCTTGTCTTGACTTCCCTCCATGATGGACTGTGATTGAACTCCTGAAATATTAACTCTTTGTTCCTCAAGTTATTTTTGGTTATGCCTTTATCACAGCAACAGAAAGCAAACTAAGTTTAAGACAAGGGTTAAGGTCAGGATCGCTACGTACTTGCTACATACTCCCTTCTAGAAAACTCTAGTTTTTTCTTGGGTCCTGGGTACTTCAACTCGCCCCACCCCCAGCCTAGGGCACTGTCTTAGTTATGTGCAAGATTTGGAACAATGGGTATAAATCCCTTTAATCCCTAAAAAGACTCAAACAGCCACCCATGAGTCAGCATCACTGTCATGTGTTTATAAAAACTCATAATTGAAGATTCACAGCTAAGAGAGACAGCGAAAGAATCACTAGTGAACATGTTGAATGGAAGTCATTTTTCACCACACTCTGGAGGAAAAAGATTCAGCAGAGGTGAAGAAAAAACAAAACAAAACATGAGAAACAGGTGCACTGCTCCCAGGAAAAGTGAAGATAGCAAGGGTACACTTTTCTCTTCCCTGGCATGAAGAATGATATCAGCCCAGAATAAGTGATCAATATAGATTTGTAAAATGAATGACTAGAATTTTGTTAATAGATCACAGTGGGGTGTAGATAACTTAATATGGATAGCTTGTGACTACTGATTTTGATGCTTTCAACCACACAGACATATTTATTTTATTTCACCTGACAACAGAGTTATAGGTCATACTTAAATACAAGTGTAACTTCCATTTCTGACATGTGGCATAGAAGGCTTGCAGAAGCTAAAGGAAAGCAGTTTGCTGCCAAAGACTTCAGAAACAGGAAAATCACAGACCCTCAGAACTAAAGTGACCTCGGAGATTTTCTCCCATAAGACCTCATTTGTTGATACATCATTCAGGCCTAGGGAAAGTAAGTGATGTAGAAATTCTCACTCAGCTAATATGACAAGAGAATTCAAACACTCAGAAGACTTGCTAACCCAGAGGGGGATAGTGACCACTTTCCTTCCTGTGGTAGATGTGCAGAAGTTTACACAAAATTGGACCTGAAGGTGGAAAAATATATGATCCGTTGGAAATATAGTTCAGAAACTGAAGCTTTTAGAATATTTTGGTCATAAACTGTGATGGACAATCCTCAGTTTCATATTTATTGTTCAACTTCCTGCTAACAATTGATTTTTCCCCGGTGGGATGAAGGCAGTCACCCATTCTCTAGATTTCCAAGTTAATCTTTCAATCTCATTATCTTAGAAGTTAAATAATATGTAGATTCTTTTTTACTTTGTCCTTGGTGGAATCACTAAAAGTATTTTTTAAAAAATATTTTATTCTTTTCATTTGAATGTTTTTAGAATAATCACCCCCAACTGAACTACTGAAATTATAAATAAAAAAAACAAAATACAGAATACACTTATTTCATGTATTTGGAATTTTTTTTTTTTTTTTGAGACAGGGTTTCCCTGTGTAGTCCTGGCTGTACTGGAACTCACTCTGTAGACCAGGCTGGCCTTGAACTCAGAAATCCGCCTGCCTCTGCCGCCCAAGTGCTGGGATTAAAAGCGTGTGCCACCACTGACCGGCGTATTTGGAATTTTTAAAAGTCAAAGGCTTTGCCATACACATTGGCACACACTTGTAATCCATAAGATTTGAGATAGGCAGGAGGATCAGGAATTTAACTTCATCCTTCCCCAGTTACATGGTGTTTTTCAGCTTGGGCTACATGAAACCCTTTGTTTAAACAAGGAAAGCAAAAGGAGGTAGGGGGACACTAGAAAGATGGCTCCGACAGTAGAGCATTGAGGAGCTATGTTTGAATCTCCTGAACTCCTGTAAAATCTGGGAGCAAGCACACTTCAGTAATCAATAATTCAGTACAGCAATTACATCTGAGTAAAACCCCTCTGTTTTGGAGGCAAGCTTGCTAAGACCCAGGGTTTTCTAAGGGGAGGTAAAACGTACCATCTTTTGGGGAAGCTCTTTAAACTTAGGAAGTAAACAACTTCAAGAGTTCAGGAAGTCCCTAAAACTGACCAGATTCATTAGGTCCCTCCTTTCTCAAGCATATTTAAGCAGTCAGAACAGCTAAGATACACTCTCAGACAGGCTGAGCTATCTAGAAGAGGCCTCGACCACACGGATGGCCTGAAAGAGACAGATTCCAATCTATTGAGCTTCTTGCAAGTTGTGCTGTGTGCTCCAGGTTTCATGAGCTGGAATGCTGGGGTGGGTTTTTGGTATTGCTGATATATTTGGGTCATTTTTGCTCCTGTATGTAACTCTTCACCTATACTCCTGTAAATGACCCCAATAAAATTCATTGGTTTGCCAAGTTGGATTTTAGTGGTATTCTTACTTTAGTTTGTTGTTAGTTCCTTATCTGGGGTGATTAGGCATTCCTGTCTCCCCAAGAACAGTGTCACAGGATAAACAGCAACACCAAAAAACTGAGACTTTATTTCAAACAAGGTAGAAGGAAAGAACTGACACCTGAGGTTGTTTGCTGAACTTAACATGTATGTTGTGGTATGCATACACCTGCATTCATGCATACAAATGTATGCGTATAATATAACCATCCTACATAATACATTTTTCATAACATTAAAAGGAAACAAACCTTCAGTTAGGAGGAATATGTTTAGAGATCTGGTGTACAGCGTGGTGTTCACAATTAATGAACTTTACACTAGAAAGTTGTCAAGACAATAAGGTTTTAAACATTCTCACCATGAAGCATGGCAAGTAAGTGATTTAATAAACTAGCTTGATTTAGCCATCGAAAAATGTGTATGCAAACAAAATCAGAAACATACGTAACTATTTTTAATTACAAACAAATTAATGAAATTAATTAACACATGACTTTAAATTAAAACAATAAGAGACTTAGCTTAGATTTCATCATTATTAATAAAGAGAGATCTTCTAGGTTGTAAAGTTACCAAAGCTGTAAGGAAAGTCCAAAAGCACTTACGTTAACTCTCGAAGTTAGGATCCATTACTAACAAATGTCAGGGGCGGGGGAATGTGGTAATTTTTGGTGAATATTGTGGTGCAGTCACTTTTGCTCAATATTTTGATAGCTCTTTCATACATTAAATTCTTGTACAGATACCTTCTCAAAACAAATTGATCAATTCTATATGAAATGGACTATTATATGCTCTCCAGTAATCATATCTTTCCTACATGCCCGTACTCTTAACTCTTCAAATTGAATTTTTAAACTAATGATGGCAGATTCCGCATGCCGTAGATCAGTGGTCCTCAACCTTCCTAATGCTGCTGTGGCCCTTTAATATAGTTCATCATGTCCTGGTAACCCCCAACCATAAAGTTATGTTTTGTTGCTTCTTTATAATGTAACGGTTTGATACTGTTACATATCTGAGTTTTTTGAGTCTTAGGCAACCATGTGAAACAGTCATTTGACTCCCTGAAGGGTTATGAACCCCAGGTTGAGAAGCACTGCTCTAATGGAGTAACCTGTCTCCTGTCAGAAAGCTTATGTGCCTATGGGAAGAAAATGGCATAAAATGTGAAATTATAGTTGTGAAGAACAAGACAGGTTCCTCTGCCTGTTGAGAGTCTCAACCCCTCCCAGACCTTCCTTTCATTCCTGAGAGTCAAAACAGCCGAACTGGTTTGAATATAAAAACTCTCATGCTATGCAAACTGTCATATCAAAACATCACATAACTACCATTCCAATGTTCTCATTCCAAAGACCATGAAAACAGTGGTTCTCACCCTTCCTAATGATGCAAGCTTTGAATACAGTTTCTACGGTGTGGTGATCCCCCCAACCATAAACTTCCTTCTGTTGCAACTTTATAACTGCAATTTTGCTACTGTTGTGAATCATAGTGCAAATATGTAATATGCAGTATGTCTGATATGCCATCCCTATGAAAGAGCCATTTGACCCCCCTAAAGAGGTTTCAATCCAGGGATTGGGAACCACTACTCTAAAGCATGACTTACGTTATAAATTTGTTGTAAAGAACAAAGGCATTTTCCAGGTTTCCTTCTTCCAAATACACAGATGCCATCCTTTCCATTTCCACTCCGGACCTGAAGTAACGGCGTGGAGTGATGTCTTCATTAATGGAGATATTACAACCGAGCTTGCTTAGGGCACGGACCCGCTCTTCTGGGCTTAGAGAAACATCTGTATGGTCAGGCATAGCAGCTAACTTTTTCTGCAATACAGCATTTAAACTTCCAATTATAATCTTTTAAATATACATAACTATTTAATTCATATACTTTCTTTTCCAAAAACCCAATAATAGCCCTTCAAGAAATCCTTCCAATAAGAGTTAATGATAAGACCAATGCAAGCACTCCCAAAAAGACACACATCCGGGAAAAATATACACTCTTGTCGGTATAAGATCTCTTCATAAGTTTCAAAGTAGAATTATGTGGCATTTCCTAGATACGTATGCAAGTGTTTCAAGTAAAGCATCATTGATCCTCAGGTAAACTGTGGGCCTTACTCATCCTAGGTCATTTGTGTCTCAGTGGGGCTCATGTTATTGACTTTAAAGTTCTCCAGAAAGTTTCTTGGAGTAAGGTTATTATAAGGATTTGATTCTATCCCACAATATATCTAGTTTAATTGGCAGTTTCTAGAGTCTCCCCTCCACTGTCACAGAATAAAAAGAAATGCCAACTCCCCAAAACCAACCAAAACCAAACCAAATCAAACAAACAAGCAAACAACCTCCCCCCAAAAAACAAACAAACAAACAAACAAACAAACAAACAAACTGGTAAGTCCCAGAGAAGCTCTTTCAAGAAAAAGAATACCTTCTAGGTTCATTTTTTTGAAATATAAATAAGTCTCTTAAGCTTTCATCTACTAGTAATCGCTCTGTTAATTAGTTCTCGACTGAGAAATTCCTAATAAATTATGGAGAAAAGTCACTTCTGACGCTATCTTTGAGTTTTACTAATGAAGCCATTATGTACAGCCTTGGAAGTGCATGGGGCATACATATTCTGACTAACTCTTCAGGAGGCAGTGTGCTTCAGAAATGCAAGACTCAGAAAAAAAAAAAAAAGCTTTCCCATTGGTTAAGGACCCAGCAGTAAATATTTTTATGTTCTTTGTTACAACTTGAATTCAGCTCTCCATCTGTAAAAGCATATTTTAAATAATGTGGAAACAAGTGTGGCTCCTTGCCAACGTAATGAATACTACACTCTGACCACAGCTTGCTTTTCCCCTGGTTCACACTTGCCTGTCTCAAGGAGTGTGGTTCAGGCACCTGCAGCACCAGCAGCAACCAGGCCTTTCTTAAAAAGGCAAATTCCTAACTGGCTCCTCTGCAGATCTACAAACCCAGGGTCTCTGTAGGCGGCTGGGAAATGGATGCTTCCCTTAATGTTCTACATTCTCCAGCGTTAGATCACTTGACCATTGTCTCACACACCAAGAATGAGTTACACCAGAGAAAACTACAGCCAAGGTGAGACATTTGAACAAAGTCTGTAGAAAGCTCTTTAAAAAATTAAATCAGATATAGCCGTATTCTGGTTGTGGATAACTGAGCCAACAACTCTCACAGGTAGAGTGCAGGAGATTAGTTAGATTCAGAGTTTTTCTTGTGTCATCTGATTACTTCCAATTTTATGGCAACTAGAACACTACAAATCTGAAAGGACTCTTGCTTTTAAAGGTTTACTTTTTTTAAGGTTCTGTTAAACTGAAGACAGTGATGCTTCCTAGGCTGTTACTTTGGTGGGACTTGTAGCAATGAACATGAAAGCTCCTTCCCATTATTTCCTCCTCAAGGAAGTGCCAGGGACTGACTTCCTCTCTACAAGGCCTCTAGGTACCTTTCCTGTGACTTGCTGGACATACCAGGTCCAATTACAGTAAATAGCAAGATTTAGTCTCCTGAATTCCCAGAGGAAAGAAGTTTCTGGTCCAAGTGACCACAATAAAAGGCTACACAGCATTTTGATCCTCAACTTATACTTCTTGATCTGTTTTCTCTTGGTCAAGAATCCCAAACCTAGAGAGGAATGATGAGAAGTCATGCAAACATGCCCTTCCTACCTAAGTGAGTTCACCCCAAAGTAAAACACATTTCCTTCATCAGATAATCGAAACCAAAATAAAGTTAGTTCTAAAAGCACAATAGTCCAAAATTTATAAAAGAATGTGAAAGTTTCTAACGGAGAGAAATGAAAATGATAACCACCCTGCTCCAATCATCGCGAGTGTGTGCTACATATATTGAATTAACACCTTATGCCCTATAAATATGTTTTTAAAAGATTGTGTTGGAATTTGTCAAAAGCACCTAAAAAAAGTCCAACATTTTTTCACAACAAAAAGTCTTTTAGAGAGCAGAGCTGGAGGGGAATGATCTCAGCTTGATAAAAGTATATATGAGAAACCAATGGCCATCTTTATAAACAGAAAAACTTGAAGCAGTCTCACTAAATCAGAAACAAGACAAGTGGATCACCATTCCTATAAAATATAGTGCTTGAAGCTAGCTAGAACAATAAGACAAGAAATAAGAGATATGAATACGAATAGAAGAAGTCAAAGTCTCCTTATTTGCAAATGATTTTGTACATGAGACACTACAAGGACTCAACAGGATACTTGTAGAGAAGACAACCATTTTCAGAAAAGTGGTAGGCTACAAAATTAATCTTAAAATTAATAGCTTTCTTATATACCAACAACAAACAGTCCCATTCACAGCAATAGCTTTAAAAATACCTGGAATCAACATTCAAAATGAAAACTCAAAAACACTGAAAAAAGAAATCAAAGAAGACACAGAAGATAGGGAGAACACTTATACATGTGGCTTGATAGGATTCATACTGTAAAAACAGTCATCCAACCAAGAGCCATCAACAGATTCAATGAAATCCTCATCAAAAATTTGATGCACTTCTTCACAGAAATTGAAAGAAGAAATTTTAAAAATTCATATAAAAGCACCAAGGACTCTGGATAGTCGAAAAAATCCTGAACAAGAGAACACTGCTGGGGAAGTCACCATTCCTGGTTTCAACCTGTACTATAAGGCTATTCTAGCAAAAATGGCATAAAAACAGACAACTTGATTGACTGTGGAAAAATATACACTTAAGAAAAGAACATCTTTAACAGGAAAGTGGCTATCTGTCTATATGAGGAAGAATGAAACCTGACCCTTCTTTCTTGCCCTGCAAACAAATCAATTACAAATGGATCAAAGATCCTCTACTATATCTGAAACTTATAGAAGAAAGAGGGGGATACTCTTAAGTAAGAACTTTCAGAATAAGATCCTGGTTGCCCAGGAAACATGATCAACAGTCAAAAAATGGGACTCCATGAAATTAAAGAATTTCCCTACTGCAAAGGAATCTGTTAAATTGACTGAAGAGGCAGCCTACAAAATTGCTTTAGAAAAGAAACATATTTGCCAGCTATATATCTGGTAGAGGATTAGTGTCTCTAATACAGAAAAAACTCAATAAACTAATGATCAATAAAACAACCCAGTTAATCACTATGCTGTGGAACTGAGCAGAGACTTCTTGGGAGAAGAAAGTGTACACCATCCTTAGCCAACAGGAAACTATTGATAAAACTACTTTGGGTTTTCACTGTACTCCAGTCAGAATAGCTGAGATTTCATACACGAGAGAAACCAAATGCTGGCAAAGATGCAGAGGAAAGGGAAGCCTCTCACACTGTAGGTCACAGTACAAATGGGTGCAGATCAACTGTATGACCCAGATACACCACTTTCAGCATATACCCAAGCTACTCTCTTCCCTACTCCAGAGAGGCTGTTCATCCTTGTTCATTGCTCTATTCACAATAGCTAGGACACAGAAACAGCCGAGGTGCCATCAGTTAACGAGTGGATGATGAATAGAATTCTATTCATCTGGAAAAAATCAACTATGAAAATTTCAGGTAAATGGATGAGATTGGGAAACATTATACTGAGTGAGGTAACCAAGACCCAGAAAGACATATGTGGAGCCTAGCATCAAATCGTTAGATCTTTGTATTTACCTTGAAATATATGTAGAAGCCAATAAAGAGGAAAGGTACCATAGACGGTAAGGGTAAAAAGAAATGTTAAGGCAGCAGGGGATGGTGTGGCTCAGGGGGTATAAAGGGAGGAGAATAATGGGGAAAATGGTTTAAGGATGGAGGGTGGGGTAGCAGGGGCAGAGAAAGGGGTGAGGAGAGAAAACTAACAAGAGGTTTGAAAAGGCCAAATGGAAGCCTACTATTTTATAAACTTCCTAAATATCTAAATATAAGAGGAGAGAGAGAGAGAGAGAGAGAGAGAGAGAGAGAGAGAGAGAGAGAGACAGACACACACACACACACACACACACAGAGAGAGAGAGAGAGAGAGAGAGAGAGAGAGAGAGAGAGAGAGAGAGAGAATATAATTAGAGTTAACTCATCCAAAACATAATGTTTTTCCCAGAAGGCAGAGATAGTCAGATAAAAAGCCCAGTGCCAGGTGTATGATACTTTCCCTCAATTTGTTTATTAGTGGTGTCCTGGAGACCTCCTACACAATACAGGCTACTGCCAGGGCATCCCAGAGACCTTCTACATAATACAGGCTACTGCCATTGTTAGGGATGTCCTGAAGACCTCCTATACAATATGGACTACTGCCATTGCTCTTGATTTCCCACTGGAACTTGACAGTAAGACCCTGTTGCTGAAGACACTATAAGTTTTGCTCACAATACATGGAGAAAGAAAGTTTCTTCTTGGTGGGTAAGGTACTATTCAGGCTGCTGATGGAGAAAGGTCATCAACAGCCTTACCAGCTCTGAACCCTGTGAGCTACAATGATGACCAATATGGCAAGATATGCCTATGGGTACAAAGTGGCATGAATGGTATGGAAGTAACCAACTCCTTTTCTCATTGAATTTAAGGTCTGGTCCACAAGGAAATGCAAACCTGGTACTGGCCAAGAAGAGATGGTTGGGAGCTCATAGGACTTATGACTATTATTTTGCTAAACAGAGTATCAATCTGTCCTTTAAATATTCATAGATTTGGGCAGCTCTTAGACCATGTCAAAAAAGTTTATTTGTGCAGTGGGTGGCAGTTAATGCAGAAATTCCCAACTGGACAAAGTGAAGAGAGTAAATGTCTAGGGAGTGTCCTCCATAGTTCAGGGTCCATAATGGAAGAAGAGCCAGGAAGAGATAAGATGCAGAGGTCAAAGAAATGCAAAAGAATGTCTTCTTGTCATGACAGATGCACTCATGAACTCACAGCAAATGTGGTTGACTGCATAAGAGCTGTATAACATGAAGGCAGTCAATGTTCCAGTGTGAGTGGGGAGGGGTTAATGAGCCCGAACTCCTCCTATGGAGCTCTAGACGGTTGATGGCTTCTTGGAGAGGAAGACTTGGTTTTCCTTAAAGCTGTGCCCCTTTGGTAGGGTAATCGTGCTCTAGAGCCCCATGCCCATGAGTTTACAGGCAGCACATTTTGGATTCTATAGGCCATTTTAAAAGAAAAATTAAGAGAGGACATAAAAAGTTGATGTGTGGGAGTGATAGTTCTGAGAGGTGTTAGGGGGAGGAGTAGGGGATAATATGATCAAAATACATTGTATGAATGTATGGAATTCTTAAAAATTAAAAAAAAAACATTTAAAAATATTCTCTATCAATTAAGATATAAAGTAGTTAAATGATGTAGAAAGGCACTTTTACAATCCTGTTCTGGCCCACACCTTATGGTACTATTCTTCTAGGTTTCTGATAGTTGTATAATTTCAGACAGAAATGGGAGCTTGGAATCTGTGAGCCCTGTGCTTCAATATCTAGTCTTTTCTAAATGAGATTTCTCCAGCACTACAGCAACCCATTCATTTTCCCCCAGTTAACACTCCTCTGTAAAACAGTAGCACTAAATGAATCACTCAGCCATGGATAACTGTCACAGTGACAAAATAAATAAATAAATAAATAAATAAATAAATAAATAAATACCAGAGCATTTTCTAAAGAGAGCTTCTATTCCTACAATGTATATGAATTACTTACCCTTATCTTATATGTACATAGTCCACATTGAAATGAGGACATCTATAGAACTGCTTCCAACCCCTTACTAATTCTTTGGGCAACCATTTCCTATTATTCTCTAGGATGTAGCATATTCTCTAAAACAGAGTTAATATCCCACGGATATATTAAATGAAGAGGAGGAGGAAGAAGAGGAAGAAGAGGAGGAGGAGGAGGAAGAGAAAGAAAGAGAGAAAAAAGAGAGAGAGAGAGGAGGAGGGTGGATGTAGAGATTAGTGAAAGGGTAGGGACTTAGCAGACAAAAGGGCCTGGGTTCAGTCAAGTGTCCAGAGAGAAAGACAGATAGAGAGGATTAGATTACCAAAGATTACCAAAGATATGCTAAAAACTACCCAACACCATGCCTTTGATCTTTACTACTTCATTTGCATATGAACTTCTTGAATGATGACACAAATTTCCCACTTGACAAAAAGTGTTCCTTATTACATTAACAAAGTACAACAGACTGTTAGTACTACCAATGATACCTGTAAAAATGACTGCTTCCTCTGCAGAGGTAGACAGAGAGAGAGACTATGCTATTTTTTACCCCAGTGGAATGTTATTTTTGGGTCAGAAAATGCAAAGGTTTCTGCAGGACCTCTTTCTCAAGCAGTCTAAGAACAACTGAGTTCCTAAGAAAATCATTCTTGCTTGAGATTAAAGCATTCTTGTTACAACCTACTTCAGTACAAGGAACTTCTATGTCTTTATGTTCTTTGTACATGCAGGATCTGTGTTTTATGTGCATTTAGAACACTGCTGCTCTCAGCACACCATCACTGTGAGTGAGTGTCATTGGGAGAAAAAAATGAACAGCTTCTATTTATCAAGTCTCCATGATAGGCTGAGGACATACATCAGCGAGGGCCAAAGAGATTATGTAGTATGCCTACATTCACATGTAAAGAGTTATCTGAGCTACCAAGCAAGTAGACATGATCCCAAAGTCCTGATACAGGAGCCTAGCATAACTTTCTCCTGAGAGCTTTTATTCAGCAGCCGATAGAAACAGATGCAGAGACCCATATGGCCAAACATCAGGTGGAGCTTGAAGACTCGTGTGGAAGAAGGGGTGGGAACAGGATTGAGTGAGCCAGGAGGAGTTAGAGTTAAGGACATCACAAGTAGACCTACAAAGTCAACTAACTTGGACCGGTGGGTTGGGAGGGGGGTGTCACAGACACTGAACCACCAGCAAAAGAGCATGTAGGAATCTAGGCTCCCTACACATTTGTAGCAGATATGCAGCTTGGTCTTCATCTGGGTCCCCTAACAATTGAAGCAGGGACTATTTCTGATTCTGTTGCCTGCCATTGGATCCCCATCCCCTAGCTGAACTGCCTGGTTGGGCCTCGATATCCCTGGGTGGGGTGGTACCCAAGGCGGGTTTCCCTTTCTCTGAGAAGAGGAGGGGTTAACAGAGGGAGGGATGTGTGAGGGTGTGACTGGGAGAAGAGGAGGAAGGGGAAGGCTGTGTGACCAGGAAGAAAAGTGAATAAATAAATAATGGGAAAAAAGTCCCGTTTCTTCCTCTCCAACACACTGTTCTTCTGGGATAAAGGTAGGAAAGCTGTCAATTTTGACTGACTGTAGAGGGAAAGTGAGAAACACAGGTGGTTTAAGAACACAGACACATAAGGAGGATGCCCAAGCAACACCTCAGTCCTGAACATGTAAGACTTTTCTCAGCTGTTACCGCACACAGCAAGCCTCCAACTTTCATCTGTAAAGGAATTTAGGCGTAAAGAGACTAGAGTACTCAAACGTGATGGCCCCTTAGAAATCCCCTCTGGGATTTTTCCAGAGGAGCTACACTCCTAGAATCTAGCCTCACAGATTACCATTTCCCGGATTTGTGAGCAAAACGCTATTTTTAAATCTTGCAAAGATGGCTCTATTAGTCACTTCCTCAAAGGACAGGGCCACACAGAAGGCTACAAACATACAAGTGGTATGTGTCTTAAAGTAGCAGTGAGTCTTTCTTTCTACAGCCTGCCCCATTTGTCTTTAGGAGTTTTTCAACCATATACAAAGTATGGGTTGGCATAACTTACCAGAGAATTCACAGTAAATGGCTGCTCCATGCTGTCCTGTCTGCAAAGGCAAGGTGTTCACTCCTTCTCAGTCACTTCATCTGTTTCAAAGACACAGAGCAAAGCCGAGGTCACTCCAGGAGAAAACAAATCTCGATTTCCAAGGTTCAAGTTCAAATGAAGGTGAACCCTTTGAAAAAGGTACACAACTGGAATGCCTCAAGGGACTGTGGAGGTCTTCTCCAGAAATATAAAACTGTGGGTGGTTATGGGTGCTTGAAATTGATCGTCAAAGATGGAGAGGTGCAGGAAATTAACGCTTGATGAGCGGACTGCTTGGAGCTGCCGTGTGCTGGTTTATTTAGAATCCTATGCAAGGCTATATATAAAGCAGGCTTACTTCCTTTAAAAACAGAAAAAGAAGAACATAGTTGTTATTAGCAAGAATGCTGTGGCGACTGACTCTTCACCTGGAGCCAGGCTGGGTTTAACCAGCCTTAAAGCTGCAGCTGGCAGATGTACTGGACAGCTCTGTGTGTCTAGTCATTGTGAACCATAGGTTGTGGAGTCCCGTCCCCTTGAGAACAGATAAGACTGTCCTGTTCTAGTGGGTCTTCTACCTATGGAAATGTGACAAATGAATATTGCTCCCACGATTATATTCCATTATATATCAAAGATAAAGATGTGTTACAGATATATTAAAACCACTTTTAAGCAGTTGGTATTAGTTAATTAAAAGCAGCTGCCAGGAGGTCTTCACCAGAGGAAGTGAGACTTTGAACAGCTTGTTTTGAGATCCAGATGCCAAGAGTTCTGCAGCTGCAAGAAAGCTAATTCTACCCCAAACCACAAGAACTTCAAAGAAGAGCCATAGCTGCAGCCACAGCTGAGCCCCTACCCACCAACACACAAGTTACAGATCCCTAGTCTGTCCTTACGAGCTGTAATCAACAGCTTGATTTCTGCCTTAAGATGCCATAAAGAGAATCTAAGTAAGGTGTGTTCACATACATGTCCCACCAAAACCTGAGATGAAGATAGGCTGTCTTTAGCCAATAAGTTCAAGGAAATCGATATGGTAGCAATAGAATACCAGCCACCTGTGTGACTACAGGTCATCTGAAACATGGAGGAGTAATATTACCCACAGCATAACTGCAACAAGGATTAAATGGGTCAGTGGGTGAACTGTAAAGAATTCCCACCCCATAGCCAATACTCCATAAGCTTTAAAATTATTAGAATATCTATTTTGCGGCTGAAGAAACTCGGTTTCAACAGTGTTAAGCAAAGATGCCCAAGTGAAAATCTTAACAATTGCTAACCCTTCCTTTGTACAACAGTGGATGCCAACCTTTCTCTCCTTATGTAGCAGAAAATTCAATAGATTTATTATATGTCGGGTAAACATTAGAATGAGATAGTTGTCTTCCAGGAGTTCTCTTATCTTGAGGACACCACTGTAGAAAACAGCTTTCTGTGATCTATAGAGCTGTTTTATGAAGGAGCTTTACAGTTTTTGCATGACTTTGGTCACAAGACAGTCCTGACACCCCTGGAATGGCTTCCATTATTGAGTACTAAGAACAGTACACAGTAAGGACTCAGGTTGCAGGGGCCCAATGTTTCCTTCATGAAACATATAGATTAGATTGGAAGCATTGGTATAAGGAACTTGTTTATACTTCCCCCGCCCCCCCACACACACACAAAGAAAGAAAGAAAAAAAAACTATGTGAACAATCCATAAATACGCTTTTACACAGTGCTTTGATGTTTGTCCACAGAGGCCGGATCTCCCTGTTACCAGCGAGGCCCTCAGCTCATTCGTGAGTGATCCTTTTTCTTTGATCATCCCACATGACCAAGATCACCAACATCCTTACTCTCCGCCTTTAACCAGGTCATGTTCTTTATTCCCTACCAGTTGCTCTGCTAACTTTGGACACTCGTCTCCTCACTTTGGAAACAGTAGAAGGCGACAGTCTCTTAAGTTGTAACACTGTGATTGATCCAATCCGATCAATCAATGTTATTTTTTTTAAACCCACCCACAGAAACCCTTCAAAGAAAATGACTCTGCCTCTTAACTTCTGGCTTTTCCCTCTTGACCCCATCACACCTTGGAGTAACTTGCTGTGCTGTATGCCTGAGTTACTAAGATGCTGAGGAAAAACAAAAAAACAAACTGCTTTGGAGAGCTACAGTCACAGTGGGAGCTGATTGCTCTGGTACCATGGATGATGCAGAATGCAGGCAATACCCAGGAGAACTGCCCCTTCCCAGGTCTCAGACCAAAAAGCAAAAAACAGAGTTGAAGAGACTCCCTGTCTGAGGTAGCTGCATATGTCTGTAACCTCAGCACTAACAGGGTAGAGTCTGCAGCATTCAGGAGTTCAAAGTTAGTCTTCAAAGACAGTTGAGTTCAGCTATGTAGAAAGTTGAAGGGCTGCCTAGGCTATGGGAGACCCTGACCCTGTCTCAAGCATCAGAAAGAAGAGGGGGAAAGGGATAGGTAAAGAAAGAGCCAGAACAATGTCAGTGGGTGAGGGAGGGTGCATGAGAACAAAGAAGCACTGGTCAGTCATCTGGTTTTGTAAAGGAATCATGTAGCGAGGGGGAATCAGGAGGGTCAGGATTTCTGTACAAGGCCATTCTGAGCTACATGTCAAGTTCGGATCAGCCTGGGACTCATGGGACTCTTTTATTAATTAATAAACCTGCAGAGTTCTAGAACTCATCCACAAAGATTCTAAGTCCAGGAACTCGCATCTCAGAACACAGCCCAGGGACTTTCTGTACAAGAGCTTCCAGAGATATATTTTGAAAAAAAAAAAAAAAAAACCCAGCACTTACTGTAAATGACATACCTGACAGTGTATCATGCAGGATTCTTTGTTGAAGGCAAAAGACCCCAACTCTTGAGTTCAGAGAACAATGGAGAGATGACTATTTCCAAGAAGGTCAGCAAAACTGGATTCAGAGGCTGCATTTCCAGGAATACCAACTCAAATCTCATAGAAGACCAAAACACTACTCAGCTGTCTTGGTTTCAGTGCAAACAAGGGAGTCTACAGCTTCCTCTACTCCTGCCACGAATTGTTGCCGTGGAAACTGTGCAGTTGCCTGGGGTTTTTCTACATGTTTGTAGTTTCCATATCACGAAATAAAAATGTCCATCAGTTATGCCTAGGTCACATGCCTGCAGCCTGGCTGAAAAGAGGGCTGGGCATGTACCTTTAGCATGGCACACTTCTATAGAAGGCAGTGGACATGCTAATTTAGAAACATATGTGTTTAGGGTAGATGGCGGAACACAGCAGTAAATATACAGAATCAAATGAACAAAATCTTCTTTGTAATGAGTTTCTATTTGTATAAATTGTTCAGTTCATATACCTCAAATACCAGAATTAATTAGCTTGACACAGCTAAAACAATCATTTTGAGCTCTCATATGTAAGTTTATAATTCAGTGGTAGAAACCAACTCCTCCCAATATAAGATAGAAGGAGTTCACAGATTGGTTGACCTATTTTTTTTTCTTTTGAACTGTTTAGTGCTTGATGGCCCTGTTCCTATATGAATTTTTGTATTTTTTAAGTCCCCAGTTTTAGGTCGGTGGCTCTCAAGTATAGACCAGGTATCCTGAGATGCTTTCATGGGATTGTTAAAGGTTAGTATTATTTTCACGATATTACTATAGTGTTTGCTTTCTCGTACATATGTGAGTGAGTACTGAAGGGAACAGGGTTGGTTCAGGACCCCCGAGACCAAGTCCTCAGCATGAAAGAGATTCATTTGCTCAGAAGGACGAGGGTAGGGAAGAATCAAGACAGGAGATAGAGGACAAGAGAGAAGGGGGAAAGGAACAAGGGAGAGGGGAAGGGGGTATTTGTCTCAGGGGACAAAGGACTTCTGCTGGATAGACATGGCACATAGAAAAACAGCAGTTTATAAAGGTGAAAGGGGAAAGAACCCCTGTGTTAGGAAAAGTTGATTAATTTTAATTGGGCATATCAATTAAGGTGGCCAAAATTGGGTTTTTTATTGTTGGACTTCAATACATTGGTTGATGGACCGTGGTAGTTAGCCCCAGTGAGGCGGAAGAGCTCAAATAAGGGGATAAACCTTTGTGACTAGCGTTAGAAATTCGATCTAATGGCTTGTAGCAAGGCAGAAAGAACAAAGGAGAAGAACAAGGCCTGCTAGAGCCGTGTTTGCCATGCTCAGGCTTTCTGGAGTACCTTCAAGCATGTTTGTGGGTGTCTGAACAAATGTACACAGGTGCCAACGAGTGTGGACATCACAGGTCAAGGTCAGCTGTCTTCCTCAGCTTACTTCTCCACCATATGGTTTTGAGACAGGATCTCTCACTGGATGTGAAGCTCACTAGTTGGCTATGCCAGCTGACCAGCAAGCTCCAGGGAGGTCCCTACCATCGCATTCCCAGGGCTGGGGTTATAGACGAGCCCTTTCTGGGCTAGCTTTTATGTGGGTGCTGAAGATCTAACCCTGTCCTCAAGCTTTCATGGTAAGCACTTTATTGATCAAGCTGTCTCCAAGTTCTAGTAGTGGTAGTAGTGGTAGTAGTAGTATCAATCTCTCACAATTGTGTTTTAGAGAGTTCCAAGGGGCAGAGTAATTTATAGAACCTCTACTTCAATACTCCTAATATCTGTTTTAACATCTAATACTGTAAATGACACACTTAAAATTGCATAACTATCTTTAGTAATGTTTTAGAGGGTAAAAAGTTTAAGCACCAGTTTTATAAGATAACCAAGCAAACAAGCAGCATTAAAAACTCGTCATACAATGCCAGTGCAACTCAAAGTAAAGAAAGCCATATGAATCTAACAGAGGAAACGTCAATGCCAAGGTCACCTTTCATTCATGGTTCCGGAATCTCACTGAAATAGGAGAGAACTTAAACAGCATGTGATGCTTGGCTTTATAGAACCAAGGCCCACAAGTACAAATACAGCAGGCTGGCAAGTATCCCATGATGCCATTCTCTTCCTGATAGGAATATGTCATCTTCAGTAGATACAGAGCATGCTGCCCAGACCCACATTTTCCACCTCTGTGGCCATGT